TGGAAAGAAAAAAAAAAGATAATTAAAAAAAAAAAAAAAAAAAAAAAAAAAAAAAAAAGGTGCTCCTGCCTCTGCTCTGCTCCTTGGGGGGCTGCCGGATCCAGGGAACCCCTGCGGGGTCGGAGGCAGGTCGCGAGCCCAGAGCCCTGCTGCACCCCAGCTCTCAGCACCTGGAAGGGGTTTCCCCTTCTCCAGGTGGTTTTGGACTCATGGCCATCTCCTCCCTGGGCTGAGATCTCTGGTTCACACACAGTGAGTAGAGGGAATCTCACAGAGTGGTTCCTGCCCTCCATGATGTTCTGCCTGGGGAAATAGGAACTTGCTAGGCTTACTGGACAGAGAAGGGGCTGGAGCCAGGAAAGGACATTCAGGGGGGTTACGTCCTGGGTTCTCCTCCCAGCCTCAGTGCCAAGGAAGGTGATTGCTACAGAACTTGTGAACACATGGTCCGCTTTCTCTGCACCCTGGTTTGGAAGAGAGAGGGGGGCCCTGCTTGCTGCAGGACTGGGGAGGAGGATCCTTGGTGCCATCGGGGCAGGGGGGACTGCCACAAATGGAATGGACAGAGTTGGAGGCACAGGTTTATAAACCTGTGTTGTGTGGTGGTGCGAGGGACAGTGATAGAAGGTCCTCAGGATGGTGTCCCACAGCTGGCAGGGGGCTCAGTTCACTACTCCCAGCACCCTAAAGGTCTGGGTCCCCCCACCCCCAGCCTGGCCACGCCAGCACATCCGTGCCAGCATCCGGCTCCGGCTCCGCCCTGGCAGGAGCCTTCCCACCCAGCCTTCTCCTCTAGCACCCTTTCCCGGCCTCCTCCTCTTCCAGCCTGCTCCATCACTCCAAAGCCTTCTGGGGAGCTCCAGAGGTGCTCCCTACACCCCGGACATCCCCTCTAAAGCTGCAGGATGGTGGAACAAAGCTAAGTGACTTGGACACATGGGTCTCCAGTTGCCCACCCTGCTACAAGCACACCTGGCCTTGGAGCTGTGGGTGTTCCAGAAGGGTGCTGGGAGACTGGGAAGGACTGGGCTGGGGGTGGTGTATGCAGAGAGGTCTGTACAGAGACCACAGCCCCAGCATGCGTGTGTGTGTGTGTGTGTGTGTGTGTGTGTGTGCACTGCACAGATGAACTTGCACACAAGAGTGCACGCGAGTGTGACCTGCTCCCTCTCCCCTTGCACCCCAGTGTGCACCACGGCAAAGCCCCACTACCTTGTGTATTCCCCTACCCGCTGTGAGGTGCCCCCCAGCCCTTCCCCGTCCCCGCTGGCCCCACCCTGTCACGGCCCCACGGCAGGCGGCCTCTCCCCCTGCACAAACACATTCCTGCACACCCGGCCAGGCTGCAGCCAGTCCAAGGCCACGTCAGCTCGGCTCCGCTCCCTGCCACCAGCACACAC